CTATACAAATAATAAGTTACTTCAACACAATAAAAGTGAAATTAGACTCAGCTTTTAACCGAAATTATGCTAGATTATTGCACTATAAAGGTTAAAAAAATTATATACAATCAGATGTAAATCTGACCAACAAAATTGAGATCTTCAAAATCCAGACCCAAAAACCCAATCTTAAAATTTCAGTGCAACCAAGTAGTAATTAGCAAGCATGTCTCGTGTGATGTTACAAAATTTGGTTAGTGATTTCGAATATATACTTCGTTTGATAATTCGAAATTATAAGAAGTTCGATAATAATGCAATACTCCCAACAAGAGCTCATTGAGGGAGCTCTTTCAACTCAGGAAGAAGAACTTTTCCAACCACATGTATCCTCTAGTTCAATTGGGCAACATTATAGGGAACTTTGATAAGTAGGGTAGCACTAACAACTCTCCAATAGAACTGCAATCTTTTCTTTTGTTCCTTTCGCCTTTCTTTATTTTATTTTTTTAGATGAAACTGAAGAAGATAAAACTGGAGGTCCCTGCAAGTTAGGATCGATGTGAGCATTTCTACAGAGGAATCTGGAAGCGTTTGGAATACAGACCTTTGAAATTGAAATAATGCCAAGTAAATTTAAAGCACTTTTCCTTGCAGTAAACAGGTCCCCTCTCCAACCAGAAATTTCTTCCTGAACACAATTGAAACCAATGTGATCAAAACTAATGACAGATATATAGATGATATTAAAAGATGATGATATCTATGCATACAAGTTCAGATGGAAGATTTTTCCGCATGTAATCCTCTGCATCTTCTTACTGGTCCTGTTGCAAGAACACGAGAGATAACAACAAAAGCTAATGAAACAATCCTCTCTGATAAAAAAATCCAGCTTCTGCATAAGGATTATCCATGGGATGTCAAATATTTGGAATGTTTTTTCCTTTATTTCATGGGTTGAATGGAAAAAATCAAGAGACAAACTGAATATGCAGGTCAATGGACAATTAAATAACGCCTGAGTACAAGTTAAGCTATAACAACAAATTAAAGCTTGTTCTCCATAAACTTCAGGTCAGCTTCATGCATCTGTTTTTGCACTTTCTTCAGTTCATTAATAAATCAATTTGAATATCAAAAGCAGCTAGACTTTGCAACCATTACAAGCCAAGTGTTATAATCCTTGTTAGTTTCATGAGGAAGGCACAAAATCATAACATGCATACAACAGTACCATAAGAATTACCAAAAAATTTCAATCAAAAGCAAGCAAGAATTCGAGGTTATACTTTTCTTCCAGTTCGAAATCAAATTAAATTGTAGCCTGAACTAATATATGGATTCTGCAATTTAGAAATAAGCTCCATCTGCATAGGGAGAAAAAAGCAATGATGAAAGAAGAATTATACACCAGAGAATTTTTTTTT